TCTAGGTCAGTGTCTAAAAATGGTAATGAAGTTTGAAACACGAGAATCATTCCTTTTTTCTGACACCAGCCTTGGTGGAAGACGAGAGTTCACTTGAGCTGGAAGAATCCTTCAGCAAGTTGGCTTATCCTATTTAGGGTCTTTTCTGTTATGTTTAGCTGAAGGAAATACTCTTGTGGTTTTAAAATTTTGCACAGGAATGGTTCCCTATAAGTATGATTTATAAAAGTGCCACTTTGTGTTAGTTACATTTTGACAGTGGATTTTAAAATAGAGGAAAATGCATTACAGTAAGCAGTGTGAAAATAAGAATCTCTGAAGTACCTTGTTGAAACCTAAGTGAAAGAAGTCAAGGGGGTGTCTTGGTGTAGTTGCTCCCCAGCATGCCCATCCCCAACACCTGTTTTCCCAAGCTCACTCTCCCTCTGTAAATAGAGCCTGACTGTGCTTCTCCACAGCTGTTGGCACGGCCACAAGGGCCCATCAGACTACATAATTCACTATGGGAGGATCATATATACATTCAGACAGTGGAGGTATTTCCACCTTTTTTTTTTTTAATTTTTTGTGAGGAAGATCAGCCCTGAGCTAACATCCACATCAGTTCCTTTTTTTGCTGAGGAAGACTGGCCCTGAGCTAACATCCGTGCCCATCTTCCTCTACTTTATGTGGGACGCCGCCACAGCATGGCCTGACAAGCGGTGTGTCGGTGCGCGCCCTGGATCTGAACCTGGGCTGCCAGCAGCGGAGCACGCACACTTAACCGCTACGCCATGGGGCAAGCCCCGGTGTTTCCACTTTTGAAAGCCACTTTGATGAGAGGCCGGAGGCCTCCGAGCAAACCTGTGTTTTACTTTCCTGTGAGAAATGGACATTCTTCATACCAAAGTGAAGACATGAGATCCCACTCTGAGCTCACCCTGTTGCAAAGTGGATAATGCCAGTACACTTGTGTGAAGGGTGTTCCCAGAGCAAGGGATGCTATGCTGTTCTGATAGGTTCTATTTTGACAGGTGATTGAAACCTCAAATGTTGTGCTGGAGGTGTTGGATGCCAGAGATCCTCTTGGTTGCAGGTGTCCCCAGGTAGAAGAGGCCATTGTCCAGGGGGGACAGAAGAAGCTGATACTTGTGTTAAATAAGTCAGGTGAGGAAAAGGGATGCCCTTTATGTTCCATATGCACTAGTGAGGTATGAGGAAAACATCTGAACAGTCTGATTGTCACTGAAGACTGATAAGATCCAACTCTGACCTCAACAAAGCCAGTGCATATGCTTTCTTGTCGCCAGAGACGCCTCTGGGCAGTGGGATGGAATTGTTTCTACAAGTGATTTGACTGGTTTCTACGATTGTTTTGCCATTCACTTTTTACCACCTTGGCTTATTTAAGAGTGTAAGTTTCTATACTCAGCTTAGTGTGCAATGTATTTCACATAGGAAGTGATGACAGTGTGCCGTACTCCCCACACCTGCACAATATTTAGATGAAATGCATAGTTATGTGTCTGGGTGTGAGCAGCAGAAACAAGCAAACCCAGAACAGACCTGTGAAGCTGAAAGAATGGGATCTAAAATTACTTTTGGGGTCAGTATTCATGGCTGCTACCTGAGAGTGAATTCTGGAAACATAGCCCTGGGGTTAGTAGGGTAATAATCTAGAGGTTGACGGAATCCTGAGAGAGTGAGCAGTGCTGAGGGAATTGAAGAAATACAGAAGTGGAGATATTGAACTCTGTTAAGATAATGGCAGTATGGTAGGGAGCTTATTGTCTCCCCATCTTCCAGTTAAATCCTTTTGGAAAAAACGAGCAAAAGGCAACCAGAGTGAAATCCATAGTTTACTGGATTTTGCAAATTGGCTTCAACAAAATGACCAATTGGAGCGTCTGTCTTATTCCGAATCCCTGTCAGATTTGGTACCAAAAGAAAATTTGGAGAACTGGCTAAATTATTTGAAGAAGGAATTGCCAACAGTGGTGTTCAGAGCCTCAACAAATCTGAAGGCCAAAGAGAAGATAATCAAGGTATCTTTTACTGTTTATGGTGGGAAGTGTGGTTCTTTCAGATTTTAGATGGCTGAAATATGATGAGTCTATAAAATCTTGATTAAAAAATGAAAACTTAAAAGATCCAACTCTGATTTCATCCAGATATAATCTGAAAGGCAGTAGAGTGTGGTGGTTTTAACAGCTGGGCTGTGGAGCCAGATTGCTTGGGTTTTCTATGGTGGGTTGTCAGAAGTAAACTAATTATTTGGAATTTTAACATGTGAAGGTAAGAAAGAAAGCTGCTCCATTCAAAAGTGAAGCCTGTGTTGGGAAAGAAGGCCTTTGGAAACTTCTTGAAGGTTTTCAGGAGACTTGGGGCAAAGCCATTCGGGTTGGAGTAATTGGTGAGTTTTAGTGTAACTTATGTCTTTTAAGTGCCAAGAATTTTTCCATGTTAACAGTGTGTGGGTTGTCGCTAAATAAAGAGCTTATTCAAACACTAGCTTCTTACCCACTTTACCAAACACAAACAGTGTAAAAGACAAAAATTTTAAGTAATTACTGCCTAATTCAGTTTTTTGCCAACTGGCATTTTAGGAAGTTGGCTTCTGAAAGCTCTTGGTTTATTTGAATTAATCATCTTTTTCTGCTCTTTTATTACTTGTGCAAGAAATGAAGACGCTAAAATTTGGTCTTAGTGTTGAAGTGAAGACACTCAGATCCAACTCTGATCTTGCTCTAAACGTCAGGCGAGCATAAAATAAGGCAGTGGAAATTTTATAGTTATCAGCACATAATGCCTTTTGTATCTATTTTCCATTTGTAGGTTTCCCAAATGTGGGGAAAAGCAGCATCATCAATAGCTTAAAACAAGACCAGATATGTAATGTTGGTGTATCCATGGGGCTTACAAGGTAAATTGAGTTGTTCCATGATTGTAATATTTCATTATAGATGAGTAAAAATGATTTTGTTTTGGATATCTTAAGAATTTTTTATTATTTCTTTAGAGGTGTCAGTGAAAGAAAGAAGATTAAGCCAGTGCTAGGTTTGGGCAAGAATTGATTGGAGTGGAATAGCTAGCTTCCCACAATCTAGTTTGCAAGACAAATAAGCAAATAGATTCAGAGAGGGGAAGGCTACCTCAGAGAAAGTGATGTTTGAACCTGACCTTGAAATGAAGTCTGCCAGATAGAAGAGGGGAAATATTTATGGCAGAGGAAACAGCATGTGTTTAGGTCAATATATAAACTATAATGGGTAGTTGTGTCTTTTTAGAAGAGGAGGGTGTGCTATTATGGTTTTAGATAAACATGAAGCAAATGATGATAAACTGGATCTGACGGACTGTGCTGAGTTTGTTCAATCCAACCCTGAGCTTCGTGTTCTGTCTCTTGTCCTTCAGGTAAACCAGTCCCCCTGTCAATTACCATCTCTCTTGTTCTAGGAGCATGCAGGTTGTCCCCTTGGATAAACAAATCACAATCATAGATAGTCCAGGTTTCATTGTGTCTCCACTTAACTCTGCCACTGCACTTGCTCTGAGAAGTCCAGCAAGTATCGAAGTAATAAAACCAGTGGAGGCTGCCAGTGCCATCCTGTCCCAGGCTGATGCTCGACAGGTTTAAAAGCTTCATTTTCTTTCTCATGATAAGCATTTTTAGTAGAAAGTTTTGAAGTTATTTTTTATATCTGTACTTTATCAGATGAATGACAGTTCCTATTTTTCTTTAAGGTAGTACTGAAATTTACTGTCCCAGACTTTAAGAATTCTCTGGAATTTTTTACTTCACTTGCTCAGAGAAGAGGACTGCACCAAAAAGGTGGAAGCCCAAATGTAGAAGGTGCTGCTAAACTGCTGTGGTCTGAGTGGACAGGGTAAGGCTTCTTTCCATTGGCATTTTGATGACCACGTAGAATAAAGGAACTGATTTTTGACAAATCTTATTTTTAATACCAGTGCCTCCTTAGCTTATTATTGCCATCCCCCTACATCCTGGACTCCTTCTTCACATTTTAATGAGGGCATTATGACGGACATGAAATGGGGCTTTAACCTGGAAGAACTGGAAAAGAACAATGCACACACCATACAAGGTAAGGAAGGCTTGTTTTGTTGTCTGTATTGGCCAATAAAAGGTCTCATCTGTTTACATGGACTGTGTTCCTTCTCTAGCCATCAAGGGCCCTCGTTTAGCCAGTAGCATCCTTTTCTGGTCTTCGGGTCTGACAAATGGAATAATAGAGGAAAAGGACATACCTGAAGAATTGCCAAAACAGAAAAAGAGAAAGCAGGAGGAGGGGGAGGACTGCAGAGACATTGACAGCAACCAGGAAAACGCTGATGAAGAAACTGATGTAAGTATGTTGTCCATGAGTTGTTTAAGCTGAAGTAAGGTTTCTAGCACTATAATGTACAACAAATGGGAAGGGGCTGAAGGTAGAAATTAAATACTTCATAATGGACTTCAAAAAACCCCATACAATTTAGGTATTTAAACTTGGAATCATTAGTCTTAATTTTGTGTATCCCATTACATATACTTTCAGACTTTTCCAGGTACATAATTAATTGGATTAATAAGCAGATGAGGGCTACTAATGTAGCACTGTTTCTTTGTCCCACAGGAAAAGAGCTCAGACATGTCCCCTGCAGAAGAGGCCTGGGAGGTACTGCCTGAGGAGTTTCAAGCAGGTGACTTGGGTATTGGGGTCTTCTAACAAAGCAGCATGGTATGGAATTGCTTTTTTTTTTTTTTATCTCATTTTTCTTTCGTCCAATATAGATGAACAATCTGCACAATCTTATGTCTTGGATAAAATAACTGAAGAGGAAGATGATGCTTATGACTTCAGTACAGACTATGTATAACAGAACTTTGTCCTTTTGTAAGGGTTTATGTTTTGAGGAGACTGCTAAGCTGTTATATGCCTGTGGTGTACCAGTTTGTTACAGTATGACGTAAGCTGTGTAAATTTTGTGAATATGTATCAGGATATATTCATTAAAAAAAAATCATGCAATTTAGAAAGTGTCTGAATTCTATAGACAACTCTTGTCTTATACAGTGAGTGAGTAGAAGTACAGTTACCTGGAAAGAATAAGTGAGATACCTATTGAAAAATTTAAGTAGCACTTTATTTACAGATCAGGCCACAGATTACAGATCAGGCCACAGATTACAAAATTAAAACCAAGCAGCAGTGTTGAAGTAGCTGTACCAGCCATATCAGTCCATTCACCTCTGGTCATGCAGCACTGTAGTAAGCAAACACTTGGTAAGGCAGATGGAGACACATTTATAGTCTGTCTGGGAAGCTGCCTGCCAGACAGGGCAGTTTGTCCTCTACCCAGCTGAAATGTCCCTTTTTCCATGGGAGTCTAGCAACTGTTACTTCCCACACATACTGTCTTCTAGGATTTCCTGAGAAATGTTTATTGCATAAATTATATATTACTTCACATTTGAGATCTCCATATGTCTTCGGATTAGGCTGAATTTGCCTGTTGGGTCTGGAATATACCATTTTTCCCAGACATCAGTATATGAAGCAGTTCTTCCCCATGGCTTAAAGTGCCCATTCCAATGAAGTAACTTGGCAGCCTTTACAAATTGGGGTGAATATCTTTTCCCAGCACTGGAACCTTACATTGAGAGAAAAAGAGCCAAATGATTGTGCTAGTATTAGACACAAGACAGACAATGCCACATCAAACTGTAGAAAACTTACAGGAAACTAGATATATCCTATCCCTAAGGACAGTCCTTTAGAGATTTAATTTTTTATTAGCTTATGCCTTTGGTTTATTATTTCTACTTACCAAGATGGCGGACATTCCACATTGGGTCAATGGTAGAGTGCTGTTGATAAAATACAATCAGCAGAGGAGGCGTTGTGATGCTGCCAGCCAGTGTTCTGCTATACAATCCCTCTCTAGGTGGGAAAGATAACAAATTGAAGCTGTTAGTGAAGAATCCTAATTCCTGTTAGTCAAGACCCCCAGGGTTGAAATACAAGAGTTTCACAGCTAGGCCAGTTATACACTTACTCTACATTGAGTTTCATCCATTTTTCCAGCTGGTTGGTTATATTCTGTCTTTTCCATTCTGTCAAGTTAGCAACAAAAACTCCAGGATTAAATGAGCAGGTGCTGGCTTTCATGGAAAGCTTACGAATTCTTTCCTTTTTATAGTCAAGATATCCAATGTAATTGTACTAAAAACATAAATGGGATAGATAGTATGTTTACCACTTCAAACAGAATAGATATAATTTGATAGCCAGTAAAGAAAAAACCTACTTATTAAACTATCACTTCTCCCATAGTGAAGGGCTCTGTACAAACCAAATAAAAGTGATATTTGGGATTTCAAGTTAGAATAGGAACCTAGAGTAAACATATTAAGCCAGATGCTCAAGGAGGAATTAGGTTGTCAACTCTGTGAACTAATCTATAGAAGGCAGGTTTGAGTTTTGGGATGAAATAATTGGGGAACGTAAAATGCAATAAGACTTCCCTGATTTTGCTGCGTCTCCCCGTTAACCTACATTATAGCCAGTGGAGTGTCCGTGCAAGGGGTCTAATAAGTAATTTACCTGGTTCCCTGCTCCACGGATGACAACTTTAGCAGAGGTTGAATCACAATCTTCTGAAAATGCAGCTGCATGTCCTGGCTTCAGTGGTGTATTGTAGAGGGCAAGAATATCACCTTAAATAGATAAGGTGTATGGTTAACACTTGGAGTTGCCTCAAGATTCCCTATTCCTCCCACTTCTTAGGATGACCTTTTATAGGATACTATGAATAAGACAACCACTACAGCCCACACTGGACAGAGAAGAATACTGATAGTGACATTCCTTGGTACCTTGCACAATTACATCATCATCCATATATATGGCCTTCTTTGCACTGGGAACGAGAATTGGCAAGTAGAACCTTGCAAAAGTTAACTGGGAAAGGAAAAAGAAAGAGGCATTGGCATAGGACTTGTCAGTGGCTGTGCTTTTATTTACTAGAAACTCCCAGAATGCTCAATATCCATGCAGGAGAAGACAACTGAAGGTCTCAGAACTGCCCAGGCTTGGTCCCTAGGGAACTACTTGCACTGTTACCCACAGTTACCCAGGTATTCCAATCACGTCCTAAAACTCCCAAGTACAAACAAGGATGTATGGAACTCACTGGTTTTATGGATTCCCCCTGGTCAGGATCCTCCTTTATTTTCCCTTCCAAAAGTTTAGTGTCAAAATTCACAATTTTGTACCTGATGCTTTTCAGGGCACCGCTGCTGAGCCAGGACCTGATGAAAATAAAGCACCAAATTTCAGTTTTAAATAATCATGTCTCAAAGCCACAGCCTTGCCTTTGTGCCTTCTAATGAAGGCATTATGTAAGAAACCCTAGGGACGAAATAGGTGTCTTCAAGCCCCTTCATCTCTCTGAGCCTTGGTTTCCTCATCTGAAGTGAGAGTATTCCTACCAAAATCCCACCCTGAACCAAGATTCTATGGTAATGGATAGCGCTCCCATCAGGTTCACTTAGGATTGCTCTTCTGACACTAAAGCTGCTGTAGAAGAACTCACTATGGAACTGAGAACATCCCATCACCACATGGACCATTCAACTCTTGTCTCTCCAAATATGTGGGTGAAGAAAATGAGTCAAAGTGTGATGATAGTCAAAGCTAATATCAACAAGGCTGGTAATCAGTCTGTTACTATAGACTCGTTAACTCACTGTGATGACTACATAATTCCTCCACCTGAGTCTAAGTTTGCTGCCTGTAAGAAAAGTCAATGTTCCCCAAAGAAATACTGCACTTTTCTCCTAGGTCCAAATCAAATTTCAGATCAGCATTTTGTGGGCACGATGTTATTTCTGTAGTCTATTTTAATGCAATATTTGTTTCTGCGTTATTTTGGATGGTTTCTGAGTTTTTAAAATATGGAAAAATAATTCATAACAACTTTCATAAACTAAATATGAAACATGGAGAAAGCCACAAGGACAAATGTTTTAGAACTTTGGCAACTATCAAGATGTTTCTTGGAATACACTTTAGTAAATCTAAATTCAAAGCATTTTCAAAACATGGATGAAACTATCCATCAGATTGGGTTTCTATTATTAATCACAACAATTACATAATAGTAAGGACCATTTACTGAGCGATTATTATGTGCTTGGTGTCTTTTTATATATTTTCTCATTTACTTGACACAACAATCCTCTAAGTTGGATATTTTTTGTGTGTGTGTGTGAGGAAGATTAGCCCTGAGCTAACATCTGTTGCCAATCCTCCTCTTTTTGCTGTGGAAGGTTGGCTGTGGGCTAACATCCACGCCCATCTTCCTCTACTTTATATGTGGGACACCCACTACAGCATGGCTTGATAAGTGGTGCATAGGTCTGCGCCCAGGATCCAAATCTGCGAACCCAGGGCCGCCAAAGTGGAGCACGCGAACTTAACCGGCTCTGGGCCAGCCCCTAAGTCGGATATTTTTACCCCATACTTATAGATGAGGAAACAGGCTCCAACAGGTTAGGTAATGTTCCCCAATCACTCTGGGCCAGGATTTGGATCAGTGTCTATGCTCACTTCACCACACTACCTTGCCATTGCTCCCACGTCCCTTCCCACTCTAGACCAGAACCACTCAGAGATGTCCATGAGAGAAGGAACTTGTAACAGGATGTAAATCAACATATTACTTCCTTCATTGAGAAAGTCTTACCAAAAAAATAGTGTGAGTTAACTGTGCATAGTGACACAGTTGATTTACATCTTGGCACAAGTTCATTATATCCTTTGTGCTATCATGGGGACAAGCTTATGATACAACTACAAGGAAAAACATGTCATACATGCAGTTCATATGTAGTACACTCAGCTGAATAGAAAAAATATATATATATAGAAAAAACTGTTCCTGGATTGGCAGCTGGCCTGCTCTAGAGCATCCTCCAGAAGAAGAATCATCAGGCAAGCAGAGCTCACCGGAGATGGTCTGCTGTACCGTTGAGTGTAATGATGTAGAAAATCACATTGGAGCGAGTGTTGTGCTGAATGCTGTTTATGGCTGCAATGGCCCCCCCGAGCCTATCTTCAGATGCAGCAATGACCACAGGAATCTCCTCTTGTCTCCCATCTACCACATGTCGGGGAACATTTGGGACAAAGTCTATGGGCTGAAGCCCCACAATTCCTGAATCTGCAAAGAACACAAGGAAGGTACTGTGATACAAACACAATCTCATGAGCTTTTGATACAGAGCCTAAGACATGAAAAGAGGTAAGGTGAGGATTATGATACTTATTTACCTCATTCTCCCCCATTACAATGTGAAGTATACAGCCCACGAATCATGTAACATCTTGTTTTCCTATATATAACCAGGCTTTTGGAAAAGCAGAAGCATTTAAAAAAACTAGGTTGACAGAATTCTGATACACTACTGGTGGGAATATAACAGTCTTTTTAGAATGCATTTTGGCAATTTGTATCAAGAGTGTTAAAAACAGGTAGGTGGCCTTTGACCCAATAATTCCCCTTGCCTCTCTTAAGGACAAAATCTGAGAGGTAATCAAAAGTCGCAATTTTATTTATAATTGTGAAAACCAAGAAACAAACTAAAAAAAGTTGTTTTTCAAACCATGAATCATATCCCATAAGTAGGCATGAAATCAATTTAGGGGGGTCAAATTGGAATAGAACATTGAATTAGAGAAGAAAACATGAGAGTGCATCACACATATCAACTCCAAGTCTTGTTTTATAAACCTTCCTTTTTGCCTTTTATATTATTCATTTTACTCATTCATCATTCATTGAACACTGAGTGCCTACTATGTGCCAGGCAAGATCTAGTCACTGGGGTTACAGCCATGAATAAAACAGACAAATCTCTACCATCTTGAAAGGTAGGTAGGTAGAAAATAAGCAAATACACATGTGTATGTGTGCTGTATATAATGCATTTCTTACTGTGGGGTTGCCATCGAAACAGTCTGAAAGTCATTGCACCAAAAGACTGTTTTTCCTGTGGAAACAAGTAAACTGTGACATTAAAACTATATGTGAAGAGTTTCTACTGTCATGGTGACATGCTTAGGATATTATCATGTGGAAAAACATGTCATATGTGCAGTCTATATATAGTATAACCTCAACTGTATAGAAAAAAATATATACATAGAGAAAAAAACTGGAAGGTACTAAGCCAAAATTTTAATAATAGTTATGTCTAGGCAATGAAATAATTTATTCAGTGAATATTTACTGAGCACCTCCTATGTACCAGCCATCACCCACAGACATGGGAGATAAAGCAGTGGACCAACTGCCCTCATGGAGATTGAATGCTATTTTGCTTTTTATGAATGTTCCCACCAGGAGCATGCATTACTTTACAGACATATCTACATATATATATATAAGTACACACACACATATATATACACACTGCTATCAAACATGCTATCAGAGCACTCAGGGAAAGCTATTAGTCTTTTCCTGCTCTGGTCAGTTATGGTGGGTGGCAACCCAAAAATGATTTTTGACACTCTGAAGCCTCCAACATCCCTCAATACCAAAGCAGAGCGGTATGAACAACTAATTTAAAAGAACTGGCAATGGAATTATACAATAAAGTGATTTTTTTTTTTTGAGGAAGATTGGCCCTGCACTAACATCTGTTGCCAACCGTCTTTTTTTTTTCTTTTTTCTCCCCAAAGCCCCAGCACATAGTTGTGTATCATAGTTGTAGAGTTGTAGCTGTTCTGTATGGGATGCCACCTCAGCATGGCTTGATCAGCGGTGAGTAGGTCCGTGCCAGCGAACCCCAGGCCAGCGAAGCACAACGCGTGAACTTAACTGCTACGCCACTGGGCCGGCCCCTAAAGTGAATTTTTTAATCAGTTGACAAGGCTTTATGGTTTTGTTTTACTACTAAAGTCCTGCTGATACAGTTCCACAGGTTAAAGGAAAGTAACAGGTGAAGGACAGTAACCAGACTGACACTCTAGTGAACAGAGCAGGCATCAAACATCAGCGACACTCACCTGTCTATACCTTCTGAAGCCCTGCCCAGCTGAAATGTGAGCAGATGGCAGCCCAAGGAGGCTCCTCTACAGCCTTTGATTTGGTGAAAAAGGATCTGTCAGATCAAACCCTTAGCAAACAACCGCAGAGCAGAGAGAATGGGGGGGCAGGAGCTGCAAGAGCACAGTGAGTACCACCACACCTCTCCCCGAGTCTTTAGCAGCTTTTGTAAGGTCCAGAAGAAAGCTTTCTTTCCCTTTAACCTAGTGATGTAACAGGACGTGGGACACACGGATCTCCCAGTCCTCAACAGATGTCAAGGCATTAGTAAGGGTTCTCATACCTGAAATCTCATTCCTTAGCAAACTGCTCAGGCTGAGGAAGTTATGGTGCAAAACCAGTAAGAAGAGAGCAACAGCCAGGACCAGGATGACGATGTTTACTGAAACACAGAGGGGAAAGCCTGCATTATATCGCCCGACCTTTTGTCTAGGTATAAAAATAACGTAACTTGTAGAAAGAGCATACCTTTACGGAATGACATCTTTCTCTTCTGCCTTAGATAAATATTAGCTATCAACCCTACAAAACAAAAACAAGCCCCCAAAGTCGGGAGGTACATGAGAATGGCCATCAAAATGCCTAAACACTTTTATTCAGGTAGAAACAAGAAGTGCATATGGTATTTTCTGCCAGAAACTCATTTTGAATTAATGGTTTCCAAGAACCCAATTTGGGATCTGAGTTTTTTATGGTAGTTATGATAATAAAATACTTCCAAATAACTTGGAGAAATAGATAGCCTTGTATATTATATGCCGCTAGATGAAAAGCAAAAGAAATTCTACCAAGAGGAAGACCTGAGGTCTAACCACTATGGAAACATTTTCTGAATGAATTTCTACTTAAAATTCCTAGTTAAATGAGACATGGACTCAGCTGTCTATGATCAAGTAACCTGAGGTCAGCCTCGTCAGTACAAAACATCCCTGTTCCGAGCTGTAGCCCATTCACCTTTAAGTGGAATTAAAGAAAAGAGAAAAAAGAACATTTTCCAAATTCATTTAAAACTATAGCAGAGAAACCATTTAAAAAATTCACAAAATCCAATCTTGCTGTCAAAAGTTTAGAGTGCTGTTCTCAAAAATTAAAAATCTTCTAAAAGGAAAAATGAGCTGCTTCTCGGGGTTTCACCTGTTGGTTAACGACCCATGTCTTAGGAAAGCGGTGTCTCACATTGTCACTCTGCCCATGGCTAGTGCTCCCCAGCTCATCTGATGCCTTCACTTTTTCAAAACAAATAATTCAATGGAAACAAGATTGCAGGTGGAACTAAATTAAACGATTAGGTTTCTACAACAATCGCTGGGTAATGTTTCCTTAAAAACAGATTTTATACAATCAGGCTATTGTGATCCTACATTTGCGACCTCTACCCTCTTCTACTTCATCTTCCTCAATGGGAGCACCTAACATTTACCTAAGGCTTTTAACTTTACAAAGCACTTTCAAATACAGCATATTTTTAAAATCAAAGTAAGTTGGAATTAATTTCATTTTAAATAAAGTGTGTGCCTATTAGACACTTGATTTCTCAAGGCCATTGAAAAAAGGAGAAGTAACTGAAGGGCTGTTTAAAAAACTGAAGATCACAAACTAGATTACAAATTTGGGAGAAAATAATTCAAATTCCCAAAAAGCAACCTAAAATACACACACTCTCTCTCATTTCTTTCTAGAGCAGTATATATAAAGTACTTTATATCAATGAATTTCCTCTTTAAAGAGCCATGTGCCTTTATCACATTGTGGGCTGAGCCTTATCTACAGAAGCCGGCAGACTGGGAGCTGCTCAGACAAAGCTCTGACATCTGCCTGCTTGGAGCCAACTTCCACCAAGACTGGAGAAAACTATCTCACTCGAATAAATCTCATTTAGTTAATGATACAAAGGACAGGGTTTTAGCTCAACAACTTCCAGTAAGAGTTACTTACAGACAGTATGTGGATCGAGAGGCACATGTATTTGTGCTATTCCAGTTAGCTAGACACAAGAAAAACACAATCCTAGCGGGTAGTTGATGTACATAAGTAAATTAGCATGACAGAAACCACTTGCTCTGAAAACTCTTCCACAGTTATCTATATGCAAAATGCTAATTATTAAGGAGTATGTCTGGTCTATATTTCCTTTCCTGGTGCTTTCCTGGTAATGGAATTCGTTGATCTGGTTACAAGAAATTCTCAAAACAAAACTGCACCTAGACCCTGGGATGTGTAATAGTAGCTACATTTTTGTAAGACTACACAACTGTGTACAATTTGATCAGCAATATTCAATTGTTCACCATGAAAATTATTTTTTGTTTAGAAATTTTAAAACCTTCATTCCTAAATCACTCACCACACACACACACCCTGCACCCACCCAGGGCAGACATTCACTCACCACACACACACACACACACACACACAGCACCCACCCAGGGCAGACATACCCAGAGATATGGGTGAAGAAACCTTAGGGAGAAAGAAGCCGTTATTTTTTTTTAACTTGCTAGCCACTGCATTAGTATCCACATTCTTAGCAGCTGTGCTCACCTTTTCTGCTTTCCCTGCTGTTACATGTACATGAAAGGCCATTCCACTGATGCTCTGCAACCTATCCTATAATTGTTTCCCTGGTGCAGCATCAGCAAACTCTTTCCCTCTCTGCTGGATTACGCCCACCAACATATTATCATGCTCTGGTATCTTCCAGTTAATTAAAAAAAAAAAAAAAAAAGACACCACTCCTCTCACTCCTGTTGACCCACAAACCCATTTCTCTGCTCCCCCTTACTCTAAAAGCTTGAAAAGATTTAAAGTCTTTAGCTCCACTTCCTCTCTTGTTCTCTCTTTAGCCTCTTCCAACCAGACTTCTGTCCCTACTGCACCATTCAAACTGGTCTTGTCAAGGTCACCAGTCATCTTTCTGTCTTCCTCTTACCCATCCCCTCAGAGGCCATCAGGGAAGTTCACCACTCTTCCTCCTCAATTATGAAGTTGTCTCATTTATTTGTTTCTTTATTTCTGTCTTTCTTGACTAGAATGTAAACTCTATGAGAACAGGGACCTCAATGAAAGTGTTTTCCGATGTGTCCCTGCCATCTAAAACTACGCTTGGCAAATGGTAGTAGGCATATCTGTGGAACGATCTCATTAATCGAGGAGCAAGGCTGGTTCTCAGCTCAGAAAGGGAAAGCAATCTTTGCTGATAATCATGAAAACAAATTCCAACATAAGAAAACACATGGATTCCAATGGAGCTCTCTCTCAAATGGAACCTGACAGGGAGTTTCCTTTTACCATCATATATTTATAGCTCAAATACCATAAAGTCTCTACAGCAACTGCCACTCTGTGAAGTGCATTTAAAGAGAGATAACACAGAGGGACATGACTATTTCTACACACAAGAGAAAGTCTGTTTAGTCTCTGCCAGGCTGAAAAGTGAGAAGGCACTAACGATATTCATCCACTTTCTCCTACCTCTCCCTCTGGCTAGCTCCTACTTGGCTTTCAGGAGTCAAGGGAACCTCCCCCAAACTCTACGATTAGCTGCACCTCCCCTGAGTTCCCACATCCCCCGGGCCTCTGTATCCCAGAAATAATCCGGCTGTCATATATTTCTGAGGTTATGTGGCAGTCTCCCTTGACACACACTGGGCTCCCGGAAGGCAAGGACCTGGTGTTGGTCACAGCGGTATCCTCACCCCACTGCCTGGCACAAAAAAGGTGCTGTGAATGTTTGCTGACTGCATGAATGAGGGCGGCAGCCACACACCACCCTGCCCTGGGAGCGCCTAGAACCCCACTGCCTGTGACCCCGACATGCAAGAGCATAGAAGCCAGAGAGCCTACACAAACCCACCGGCCCGCGTACCCCAGGACGGTTTCTCTCCGAAACGTGGGCACCCCACCTCGCTCAGAGTAACGGGAGAGGGTCTAAGCTTTTGAGATAAGACACTAGCCTTCAGAGAGAGGCAGAGCAAACCCTTGGCTGGTCGCTATCGGGAGGGCCCAGTGAAGCCGGCGAGCATGCTGGTGAGTCAACTTGGAGACTCCTCGGCTGGGAACCCTCTCCATACCGGTGCGAGGGGCAGCCGAGAACGGGGACCCCTCTCCGAGGGGATTCTCTTTTTCTAGAGGATGTGGCCTGGGGTAATCTCCCCTAAATCCTGGAAGTCAATAGGGCCCTCTTACGCTTAAGGATGAGCAAGGGGTGTGTGACGCTCCGGGGGTTCCCCCCAGGCCCAGAGAGACCCTGGGTTAGGAGGTGGGCAAGCCGTTCCCCTCGGACGCTCCCTGCGGCTGCCCTTACCTGCAGCCGGGGAAGGAGGAGCTGCTACAGCCACAGCCGCCGCCGCCCGCGCCCAGGCCCGCCCCGCCAGCTCAGCGCCCGCGCCGCAGGCCCCGGGGCCCAGCCCGCCGCGGGGCCGCCCGCGTCCCCTGCACTCTGGACCAAGCCCACCTGCCTACTGGCTCCGCAGCCGCCACGCAGCCCCGCAACCCCCAGCCCGCCCGACGCTCTTACAGCGAGAGCATCGCGCCGAGCAGGCGCCGCCGGGCAGCCCCGCCGCCGGGGTCCTCGCCGAGAAAAGCCCGTCGCCATGGAGACGGGACGCGTGCCGGCAGCCGTTATGTCGCGGAAGCGCACGCGAGGACTGTTTGGGGGGCCAAGGCCGTGGCTTCCGGCACCCGGCAGTACTAACGGCGAACCCTTCGTGGGCGCATGATGCCTCGGCGCGGCCGCCACCGTCGCCATCTCAGCCCTCCCGGGCCGTGCGCCGGGCTACAGCCAGCCCGGAAAGCGCAGGTCGCCTGACGATGGCGCGGGGCGGGGCCGCGGGCCGTCCGGGTCTGTTGCAGACATCCGCTTCCGGGGCCGCGGCCATCGCGCTCTGCAGCTCGGCAGGCGCGCGAACCTGTACACGGGACAAGACCCGGGGCCCTACGGGCCGTGAATTGCGGCCGCCTTCGCCCCGCCGCCCGCCCTCTGCCCTCCGCCGCCCACCTCCTCAGCCAGTCATGCTGGAGCACCTGAGCTCGCTGCCCACGCAAATGGTGAGGGCGCGGCCCACCTCCGCCCCAAGATCCCCGCGAGCCGCTCGCGAGCCTGGCAGCTTCGCATCCCTTGTCCGAGCACCGACCGGGGGCAGCGCGGTTCCTGGCCCGGATAGCTACCTTACACTCTCTTCCCCGAATTGTGCCTCCTGGGTCTTTTCTTTTCCCTCGCGAGGATTGCTCCTGCCTGTGCTCCGTTAGGATGCTTCAATTAGCCCGGGAAACCCAGAATTTCATTCCTTGTTCAGGTCCTTGGGGAGAGCCTCTGATGTTGGGGTTGCCCTGTGCCAAAGCTGTAAGGCCAGGGCAGGAGTTGTACCTCTTCGGTGGTGGCACCAATTCCTGCTTTGCTCTCTTTCACCTCTAGGATTACAAGGGCCAGAAACTAGCTGAACAGATGTTTCAGGGAATTATTCTTTTTTCTGCAGTAAGTATTGGTTTTGCATAATCTTTTTATTTCTTCTCTCCACCCCACCCCCACCCCCTGCCTCCAGCTTGACTGTATTTAATATATTTTGTCTATCTTTAGATAGTTGGATTTATCTACGGGTACGTGGCTGAACAGTTCGGGTGGACTGTCTATATAGTTATGGCCGGATTTGCTTTTTCGTGTTTGGTAAGAAATTTGTGGATGTTTGGATGTTAGTGGCTACTTAAGTTTTCTGAGTTGGGTTGATTTGGTTGGACCTAGTCGTGAGAACCAGCACCAACTTTTCCCTCATCTTTCCCATCAATATTTCCCCTTGCTGTCATTGGAAAAGTAGAATGCCAAATAGTTTCAGATGAGGTAAGCTGCATAAAAGGTAAGCTGCATAAAAGGTAAGCTGCATAAAAGGATACAGCTCATCTCTTTTGGCAGCTGCTCCAAGCAATAATCTTAAGGTCAAAGCTAGCAGGAATTTCTTATGGTCTTTACATTGCTCCTTCTTCACCTTTCTTTTAGCTTTTAAAGCCATATGTGTAAACAGGAAGACTTGTTCCCATCACTTGCGGTATCTTGTCTGGGAAGTGGCACAGTTTTCATAGGAATGTCAGTTGGTTGTTGTTTTTACCTTTAGCATAGGAGTCATTTGGGAACCAGGCATTATACATAATGCTCTTTTAAACTTTTAATGGCTATAATTGATGCATTGTCTCTGTTCTTGCCCAGCTGACACTTCCTCCATGGCCCATTTATCGCCGGCACCCCCTCAAGTGGTTACCTGTTCAAGACTCAGGCACAGAAGACAAGAAACCAGGGGAAAGAAAAATTAAGAGGCATGCTAAAAATAATTGATTGGGGCTTTCATGACTCAGCTTTACTATTGCACCTGCTTTTGTTTCGTATGAGATGAGCTAAATTGTTTTCACACCCAAAACATGAGCTAAAATCTACCTATGCTCTTACTGCACAGGTGTGTTGAGATTTTGTTCTCTTTATATTTCACTTCTAACTCAGTTGGGTTTTGACTTATAAATATTTTAGACCTTCTCTTCATAATCTTCCTCTGAAATGGAGAACAGAAAACACAAGTATGCAAAGTTTCTTTCAGGTCTACAAAAATAATGAAGAATAAATGCCTCATAAATGATAGTACAATTTAACTATCAGAGTTTTATAATTCATTATGAGTAGTTAAGCTGTTTTAATGTTTTCAATTAAAACTCACAGTGCAAGTCTGTGTCTAAAGAGTCTTTTATTCATTATTCTGTAAGCAAAACTATTAGTAAAAACCAAAGTGAGAAGTTAATGGTTCTGAAAGTGTCAGCACCATTTCTGTTTTCTGTAGCTGCAAGTTCCTAATATACGTCTTTTTGTGTGTGTGTGTGTGTGAGGAAGACTGGCCCTGAGCTAACATCTGTTGCCAATCCTCCTCTTTTTGCTGTGGAAGATTGGCCCTGAGCTAACATCTGTGCCCATCTTCCTCCATTTTTTGTATGTGGGACGCCACCACGGCATGGCTTGATGAATGGTGCATAAGTCCGTACCTGGAATTCGAACCTGCGAACCCTGGGCCACCAAAGCAGAGCACGGGAACTTAACCACTACACCACTGGGCCGGCCCCCTATACATCTTTCTAAACAACAGCAAGCACCTATGAAAAAATTTACTAATGTAAATTTGTGGTAAAGGAATATTTTGGTACCACTAAAATAAGGCTGTTGTTAAGCAGAAAATGTTTAATCCACGCCTTACCTGAGATGGACCAAAGTGAAAACCCATAGAGCTGTAAATTCCTTTTAAATTTTCCAGAGGGCTGAAGAGAAAAATCTTCTAAAGGTCTTGTGTGAGGCATGGGAGTGGGAGGGTTATTATTATAAGCAATACTGTATTTCTCAATACCAGGATATAGGACTTCCAAACTATGAGTTTTAAAAAAGGGAGCCTTTAATAAAGGGACCTTAATACAGTAAAAAACAGGAAAGGTTTAAAAAACAGAGAAGGGGGCCGCCCCGTGGCGTAGCAGTTAAGTGCGCGCGTTCGGCTGCTGGCGGCCCGGGTTGGGATCCCGGGTGCGCACCAACACACCACTTGTCAGGCCGTGCTGTGGCAGCGTCCCACATAAAGTGGAGGAAGATCGGCACGGATGTTAACTCAAGGCCAGTCTTCCTCAGCAAAAAGAGGAGGATTGGCATAGATGTTAGCTCAGGGCTGATCTTCCTCACAAAAAAAAAAAGAGAAGAAAAATTAGAAAGGCAGAAATAAGACCAACCATATCTGTAACTATAATGAATGTAATTAAAAAGTTAGGAGCAGGGCTGGCCTGGTGGCATAGTGGTTAAGTTTGTGCGCTCTGCTTCAGTGGCCTGGAGTTCAAGGGTTCAGATCCCAGGCGTGGACCTATGCGCTGCTTATCAAGCCATGCTGTGGCAGGTGTCCCACATATAAAATAGAGGAAGATAGGCACGGATGTTAGCTCAGGGCCAATCTTCCTCAGGAAAAAGAGGAGGATTGGCAAGGGAGGTTAGCTCAGGGCTAATCTTCCTCACAAAAAAACAAACAAAAGGAGCTCCCAAATAGGGTTAAAAATCAAGTTACCTCATATTCTCAAAATGACACCCAGAGGTTGAAAACAGGAACAAAGATATATTAGGCAGAAAGAAGCATAAAAGAGGAGTAACAGTGAAAACGTCAGATACTTAATATCAGAAAGCATTAAATGGGGCAAAGAGAGACATTTCACAGCTGCCAAGATGTTGCTGTTATGGATCATTATGCATTGAATAAGATGTGAAATGTATAAAGCAAAGACTGTTACATATACAAGAGTTTGGCAAAGCTACACTTTTGGTAGGAGACGAACACTCTACCTTCCAGATTTTGATAGATCAAGTGGACAGGCAAGCGATAGAAAGACTTTTGCATTTGTTCCCTGTAACTGGAACATCTTCCCTCAAATATATATGACTTGTCTCTCCTTTCTTCATGTCTCTACCCAGATGTCACCATAAAGAAGCATTTCCTCCTATCCTATCAAAATAAAGTGGTATGCCCCATCATTCTATATCTACTTAGCCTGCTTTATTTTTCATAGCATTTAATATATCTCACAATATATACTTGTTAATTGTCCTCCCTAGAACATAAGCTCCACGGGAACAGGGACCTTGTTTTGCTCACTACTGTTTGCCCAGTGCCTACAAGAATACATGACACATTATAGGTGCTCAATATATACTGAATGAATGATACAGAGCTGTACTGTCCAATATGGTGCCACCAGTCATGTGTCTATTTAAATTTAATTAAAACTAAAATAAAAAATTAAGTTCCTCAAACTAGCCACATCTCAAGGGCACAACAGCCATATATGACTAGTGGCTACTGTATTAATGCAGATATAGAACATTTCCATCATCACAAAATTCTCCTGATCAGGTCTTATATAGGTTTGAATAATTAATAGACAAGTGATTCTGCCTGTGCATAACAGAATTAACCTTTATAGAATAGGGCCATTCCAATAATGGAGTATGTACTGAGCCACAGGGAAAAAACAATTCCAAGAAATAGAGATTGTGTTGGTCATATTTAGTAACAACACTACAATGTAGCTAGAGCAAGGAGATAGAACTTTCTTGGCTTTCTAAATATACAGAAATTAAGAAATACTTCTAGGGGGCTGGCCCCGTGGTGTAGCGGTTAAGCACGTGCTCCACTGCTGGCGGCCTGGGTTCGGATCCTGTGCGTGCACCGATGCACCGCTTGTCAGGCCATGCTGTGGCGGCGTCCCACATAAAGTGGAGGAAGATAGGCACGATGTTAGCTCAGGGCCAGTCTTGCTCAGCAAAAACAGGAGGATTGGCATGGATGTTAGCTCAGGGCTGATCTTCCTCACAAAAAAAAAAAAAAAAAAAGGAAGTACTTCTAAAAGAGAAAATCAAAACCAGAATCACTGACTATTTAGAAACTAATGTCAAAAGGAATATCATTGGGGCCAGCCCCATGGCCTAGTGGTTACGTTCGGCACGCTCCGCTTCAGCGGCCCAGGTTCAGTTCCCAGGCACAGACCTACGCCACTCATCGGCAGCCATGCTGTGGTGGCAACCGGCATACAAAATAGAGGAAGCCTGGCACAGGTGTTAGCTCAGGGCAGATCTTCCTCAAACAAAAAGAGGAAGACTGGCAATGGATGTTAGCTCAGGGCGAATCTTCCTCAGCAAGGAAAAGAGAAAAAAAATGCAAGTCTCTGACATGTGGCCAAAGGTATGTTGAGAGGAAAATTCAGAGTCTTAAAAATGTGTTTTATAATTAAATAAGAAAGATGAAAAATGATCATGCACTCAAGAAAAAATAACCACAAAATTACCAAATGATAGTAGGATAAATGAAAACTGAATGTTCAAACAAAATAAAAATATACAATGGGAATAAAAAAGTATGGGCGGGAGATTTTTTAATTCTAAGAAAATGTACAACTTTATACCAGTAAGTTAGGAAACTTAAGTAAAATCAATGACTTTCCAGAAAGATGTGGATTTCTTAATGCAAGAAATGGTGAATAGCTCAGGAAGACCTACAGTTTACCAAAGATTTGCCCCCTATTAGGCACTGGGACTAGATGGTTTTACAGTTGAGTTCTAACAAACTCTTCAAAGTAAAAATGAGAGGTCTCAGAAACCAGGCTATGAGCACTGTTAATGGCAGGGCGTATTGTTTTATTTACCACTATATCCCCAGCTCCTGGCATAACACCTGGCACACAGTAAAAACTAAATAAAGGTCTGTTAAGTGACTAAAAAGGGAACATTTCATTAGTCTTTTATGTGTGTGTGTAATTTTCAAAGAAGGTAAGATACGTTTTTAGTTATAAAAACTGAAAACATTCTGAAGCAGTATTAATTTTTTAGAGTCTCTTGAATACGGAAGTAAAAATTTACTAATCAAGACTTTTATTTTATAAAAACTATTTCCTAGATGGACATTACCCCTTATTAAAAAACTAATAAAATTTGTGATATACAATCATACATTTAAAACATGGGAAGACAACCAATATCTTGATGTACAAGATTCAGGAGACAAAGAGGTCCAACATAACAGAAAGGATCTGGACTTTACTGACAGACTGCTTAACTGGAAAAGGAATTAGTGTTTAAGAAATGTTTTTACTGATGGAAAAGTAAATCTAAAAAAAACTATGTAAAAACATACTGATTTACAAAGCCAAAATACCTCTTAGTTTCAATTCCTGTATACCCTAAATGAGGTTCATATTAAATGAAAATAAAATGTTAAATGTCCATCAATATGTAAAAAAAGGAATTCATTTGCTCAAATACTAGATAGAACCTCATATATATATATATATATTTTGTGTGTGTGTGTGAGGAAGATCAGCCCTGAGCTAACATCCATGCCAATCCTCCTCTTTTTGCTGAGGAAGACTGGCCCTGAGCTAACATCCATGCCGATCTTCCACCATTTTATGTGGGACGCTGCCACAGCATGGCTTGACAAGCGGTGCGTAGGTGCGAGCACGGGATCCAAACCCCAGGACCGCCAGCAGCGGAGCGCACGTACCTAAACGCTATGCCACGGGGCCGGACCCAGAACTTCATATTTTTTTAAATCTACTCCAAGAATAGTGAATTGACTTTTTAAAAAAATAATTTATCAACTACTACCTAAGGTCGTTAACAGTAACAAGAAGTATCACTGGGCATATGTCGTTTATTTTTCCTATTGCTTTTATCACTACAGTACAATATAAAACTTGCAATCCAATATTTTATGGCCCTGTATTCAAGCTAATTAGTACCTTAAAAAAATAAAGTTCTAGATATAAAGTTGGTGGTTAAAGGCTCAGTAAACAGTAACCAAATATCTTATAACAGATTTTTCCTCAGAAAGTGAGTAAGATAGCTAAAGGTTTTTTTCTTTCTTTTGTAAGCTTGCTTCATATTACTCTGTTCTGTCCAATATTTTTCCAGTAAAAAAAACCCCAAAGAGATGTAAGGATGGTGAAGGGCCTCTAGCCTAGCCATTGTTATGGGTTTGTTTTTGTTTAAGCCAAAAACCTTTGAAAACAGGTCTTTAGTTCTGGCAGCAGACTAGAATAAATTCTCAAAAATTCACATTTTCTTCAAAAAATTTCAACTGGCGAGCTTTCACACTGTAAGTCGTATACTTTTCACCCATGTGCTTCCGCAAATGTACCTATTTGGGAAACATAAAA